GCTTGGCCTGCTGTGTTCATCCAGCCCTGCACCTTGTTGTCCCTGAATTTGTAATGCTGGGAGTAGAGGTTCCCTACTAATAATTAAATCCAAAACACATAGAGAAGCTCACCTTGCCTTTATAATCTGTTAAAAAGTATGGTTAAATGAAAGAAAATCCCTGATATTCACTTTATAAGTAACAAGTAACTATTTATTTATTTAACCCTAACAGTGAACAAATTAACACAATTACTAACAAACTGAACAATTCCCCCTTACCTACTAACTATTCTCTAACTGAACTAAATTCTACTGGTATGCTGTTCCAATAAACACAAATCCCACATATAAACCCAAGTAAAAAGAAAATAAATTAAAGCTTAGTCTGTCAAAGTCTACATGCCTTTCTTCTGCTGTTCTCAAGTCATAAATGCCTTTCTTCCTCTGATCTGGCTGCCTGGGATGATTTCCCTGCAAAGTCTTCTGTGAGGACTCTTAGCTAGAAGTGCCATGACACCTGTTATGGATAGATGGTGCTTTCTTAAGGAACCTAGTGATTTCTTGTGAGAGCTGGATGCTAATTTCTCAGATAGTGGTTCACTCTCTCACCGATTTTCAAAAACCCTCTTCTTATATGCCTTGGATGACACATCAATTTTCTTAGAATAGCATTGGTCCAAAGTTGTCAAAACTATCAGGTTTAAATTCAATTGGCTTTCAATCGCTAAGTGCTTGGTTTAAATTAGTCGGCTGATTCCAGCTGATTGCCAAAACATCAAAACACGTCATACAGCCAATTAATACATGTTTCGATTTCAGAACTGGCTGTACATCTATAGCTACATACAGACTTTTATTTTTCTATATAAATCTATAAGTTTAGAAAAGCATTTTGTCTCTTAAATAAACCATGCACTCTTCTGCCTTATCATTTTTTACAAACAAAATTCCAGCTTTCTGCCTTCCAATTCATGATTACACTACATGACTTTGTAACACTAAAGAACAACATACTCCACTTGAGCCAATTTAAGAATGTTTTCATAATGTCTGGGACTTGGTGGGGGGAGAAGTTGGAGTGGTGGTAAATGTAATTACATTCGCAATTATATAATATTGTGATGGGAAGAAAAGAAGCTTGAGGGGAGATGTTTTACATGAATTTGATGGGCTTCATAGAATCTCTGCAGTGTGGAAACAGGCCATTTGGCCTGTCAAGTCTGCACTGAACATGCGAAGAACTTCCCAACAAGACGCAGCCCCCTACACTTCCTATAGCTGCTCCACATCCCTGGACACTTTAGCATGGCTAATTGACCTAGGCTGCAAATCTTTGGACTGTGGGAGGAAACTCATGCAGCCACAGGGAGAATGTGCAAACTCCGCACAGACAGGTCCCTGAGGCTGGAATTGAACCAGGGTCCCTGGTGCTGTGAGGCAGCAGTGCTAACCACTGAGCCGCCATACCACCCGAGGTTGTAGGAACATACGAATAAAAGTAGACCACTCAGCCCACCTGCCAGAACCTCCCATTCTTGATCATATCCAATCACTTCCTCAATGCCAGTTTCCCACATTATCTCCATTTCTTCAATATTGCTGCAAAAAAGGCATTTTGTCAAAGCTTTGCAGTCAGGACATTTCACAAGAATACCAATTCAAGGGGAAACCTACATTGAATCTGCATGAGAGGAGGGTGTTGATACATTCATAAGTGGACTCTGATTGGTAGAAAAGTTCCCATGGATAATGCACCCATTAAAGCTGATACAGTTAACAGCCAGGTTTTCTTTACATTTTAAACCAGCCACATTGCCTCTGATTGGTCAGCGCATTACCCTCAAAAAGAACTTATGAATGGCTGTCACCTGTCATACTGAATCGAAGCAGGTGCAGTGGGTGTATGTGTACTTTCTGTCTGCAAAGAATATGGCACACTTCCTAACCTCAGTCCCACAAGTTTCCAAGATCTCTGAGCTCACCATCTCTGGCTTCTCATGCATTCCAATATAAATCCCTCATCCTTTGAAGACCACCTCTTCAGTTGCCTGAGCCCTCAGCTCTTGAATTCCCTGCCTAAATCTCTCTGTCTGTCCACTTCTGTCTCTTCTACAAATCACATTAGATGTGGTTCAATAGAGGCTTTCCAGATTGATATCTGGAATGAATGGATTGTCTGGTGAGGAAAGTTTAGATGCGCTGGGTTTATTTCTACTGGATAACAAGACTATAAAATTTAGGTGCAGAAATAGGTTGTTTGCCACATTGAATCCACTCCACCATTTGATCTTGGCTGATATATTTCTCAACTCCAGTCTTCTGCTTTCTCCCCTCGATCCTTGATGCCCCTTACTAATCCATAACCTATCTCTGTCTGAAATACGCTCAATGACTTGGCCTCCACAGCCCTCTATGACAACGATTTCCACCCTCTGGCTGAAGAAATTCCTCTTTGTCTCAGTTCTAAACAGTTTCCCCCATCACTCTGAGGCTGTGCCTTCAGATCCTAGTCTCTCCTGCCGGTAGAACCATCTCCTCCATGTCCACCTTATCTAGGCCTCTCAGTATTCTGTAAATTTCAATGAGATCCTACACCATCCTCTTAAACTCTATTGAGTACAGACCCAGACTCCTCAACCTCTCCTCAAGTGATGTTTTAAAAAGCAGGGCAGTTGGATTTTGGTTACTGCTGTGAGGATTTTTTTTTTAATAATCACCAAGTAATTATGGAACAGTGACCTGAATGCAACATTGCTAAGCAAGACCTCTGTAGCATTATTGAGATAAAATGTTTAAACCTTAGGTTCATGTCATCATCATAAATACGTTAAGCCATTAGTTTTATTTTGACTTTAAAAGTAAAATGCTGCAGATGTTGGAAATCTGAAATAAAAATGTGCTGGAGAAATTCAACAAATCTAGCAGCTGGGGGAGAGAGAAACAGAGTTAACACTATGAATCTGATATGGCTCTTTGATCAGCCTCTGTTAAATCACATCCAATGTGATTTGTAGAAGAGACAGAAATGGA